CTATTATAATACATTTACAATGGTAATTCTATAATTGTTTATAAGCGTCAAACCTAGATGTTTAAGCTATTTATAATCCATTAAAATGATAACATTTTTTGTGACATAATGTTAAATTATAATCAATTGTATTCTCTTCTAATCTCTTATAACCTCTTATGATCTCTTATAACCTAATATAATCTGTTATAATAGATCATAATCTTTTCCTCTGAAAAAAAATCTTTAAAAAAGATGTCTTGTCACACTTTGGTTTATCTAAACACAAAATTTTACTCGAAAATTTCATAGAGATCCCTTCATACTTGTTGAAATGTTCCCCCGGAAAGGTGAAATAAAATTCATCCAAATAAATCCTGAAACTAACGCAATGTTATGGTGTCTGAATAAATTCATAAAGTGCATTAAAAACGACTTTAAAAAACGAAGAATTGAAAAAAAAACGTTATAAAATTGAATTGATTTGAAAACGGTTTAAACATTTTACCATTTTTGTCTGCAAAATGCATCAAATATAAACAATTCAGGTGCTAGGTAAAAAACAAAATGGGAATCACAACGATTATAATGAATTATTATGGATTTTTTCTACAAAACAAAACAATTAGAAACTTGGATGAAATTAATCGATTACAATCAAATATACTGTTTTATAATTAATTATATTTGATTTCAAAAAAAATCTATATATAATCAATTAATAATTGTTTAAAAACATTTTTGGTATGACTGGTACTAAAATCAAATTATACTCGTTTATTAACGCCTGGAACTGGATGCGGGCAGGGCGAGCACAGTCGAAAGAAACCTGATTTTGGTGGGAAAAATTGAAACAATGGTCGAGCACAGTCGAAGCTAATGATAAACAGAACCTAAATTTTTTTTTCAAGATTTTAAATAAATAGAAATCGGAAATCGTGCAAAAGTTTGTTTAAGAAAATCCCTCCGTCAAATCGTTGCAACCCGTAACAGACAATTGAGGATATATTCCTTCGGCAAAACAAGAAGTTTGGAAAACCTAAGGGTTCCTGCGGTAAAAAAAAGGCAAACTGTAAAGAAAATTCCTCAATATCAGTTTTCACATTACCAGTTTCAGTCTAATTTTGTAGATGAAATAAAAACAAAATTGGGAGACCCAACTTTTGAAAAAAAATAGTGCAATTCACAAGTTTTTTAAATTTATTTTCAAATCAAGCATCATCACAAAATATCAGCTGAAAAGCATACATTATAAATTTTTGTCACTTCACTCTTGTTGTTTGATAGTCGAAACAGTCGAAACACATGTCAAGCACAGTAAAAACCTATCCATTTTTGTTCGAGAAAAGGGAACGGAGTTCCAGCGTAGTAAAAGTATAGGTCGCACACATAAGTCGAGTACAGTCGAAACATACCCAATTTCGTTCGTTATTGTCAATACATACGTCAAGATCTGGAGATCTGTTGAAAACTATGTCAAGCACAGTCGAAACATAGGCCAAGCACAATGAAAACAAAGTTCGAGCACATCCAAAACATAGGTCAAGCACAGTCGGAACATTCGTCGACCACAGTCGAAACATAGGTCCATCAGTTTTTTTGGTACTGTTTTCAGTACCGTTTTTACAATTCGACTGTGCCAAAGAAAAACTAAGAAAACTGAGAACAGGTTTTCAAAAGAAACCGCTTCACTATATGAGATATTAGATTGATATTGACAATTAGAAAATGCCAAATCGAAAAGTTTAAATTATCAGGTCCCGAAACATGAAATAAACATTTAAACCAGATGTATTTAACTGAGAGACCAAAATGTCTTTTGAAGAGTTTTTGGAGAAACCACAGCCATTGAAAAAGCGAGAAGGTTTTTTGTGTGCCGAGAAAAACAAGGCAGTCGTAACATCGATTCGACGTCCAAAAAATAAGCTTTTTGATTCCTCCACTAGTTAAAAATCAGTATCTATCAGAAAGCACAGAGCAAATTAAATAGTTAATAAATAGTTGCATAGGGTTTTTTTTCTTGCCACCAGCTTCATTTTCAGTAAGTTGGAGAAAACTTTGTGAAAATTTGAACTAGCAAAAAGCTTACTCTTACTCCAATTAAACGGATCTCATTCAAAAAATACGTGCGTAATACATTTTTAACTGGCAAAACTACGCTTTCTGTGTTTTTTGGTTAATTACGAAGTCAAAATTATGTTATGACCAAACCAAAAAATATTATCATTATCCTTTGAGAGAGTCGAATAGACAATCATTCGATTGGCATAAATGTTTCACGACTTCATGGCCGTGTTTGTAATTGAAATTATCAAATGGGCCTTACATAGTGTTACACGCTGGCCTGGTGGAAAACGTTTGGGAAACAATTTTGAAATTGTAGTTTGTCGATCCAAAAAGTTGAAATAAGGGAATCATTTTATGGGTTGTTATTTGTAAGATCAGTTTTTTGTGCGTGATTTGTAAGTGTTTTAAAGTAAAAAACTATTATTAATCAATGAGTTCAGTTTCAATTTTCTACCAAAGCTTGTCCAAAACATTAAAAATTATCGTGTCAAACTGATTCACTTCATCGGCGTTTACCTCATTACAACGCAGGCAACATAGATCGGGGGAGAAAACCATGTTCTTTTAAAATCGGTTAGTTTAAACAACAGCGAGACTAAATTTTAGTGCTTTGTGTATGGTTAACCCCATGAAAAATATCTTGAGTTTTGCTAAAAGAGAAGAGCATTTTGGTTGCAGGTGTCAAGATGTTCAAAAAAAAAGAGCAAACTATCAATTCAAATGAAGAATCATTTGCAACGAAGAAATTTTTCCTAGTCGGGATCAATTTAAGAAAAAATAGTCAGCTCAAATTTTTTTTAAGTGTAAGCCATCAAGCGAGAATACTGTCTTTCGAAATTTTACTGGGTGCTCAAAAGTCAACCCGGAGTTCACATGAGCAATGCGATTTTGTGAAGAAGTTTTTGTATCTTGAAAAAATTCCATAAAAATTCAAACATGGAAAAAATTTTTTATGGAAAAACTGACCCCACGAAACTCAACAAAAATGCAAGCTTGGTAAGAACAATTTTTTTCTGGAGGCTTTACTCTCAAAATTATTTTGTTGCAGTTCAATTTTCTTAATGTGCGTGTAGCTTAAAAGCAAGATGATTTAGTTATAGAGTCAGTTTTAGGTCAGATGGATTATTTAAGAGATAAATTTTGAGAAATTTGCTAGGATGTTGTTTTCCCTCCAAATTACATTTTGTTGCTTAAATGTCACTTTTAATTGTATGATTGTATTTTTGCACCTTGAAATTTTCTTCATTGAAACAAATCTGCGGAGAAACATCAGTTTTTTTTTCTCAATTTTATATGACCTCTTCAGTTGGCTAAAAAGTTCCAACTAAAATTATTGTTACGTCGACTTGGTTTTTCACCTATTTAGTGGGAACTTCGGGATCCGGTTAAGAAAAAAATTAATATTCGTTTTCGATGATGCATAGATTACAGTTTTCAACAACCATCAGGAAACTCTGTCCCCCTCAGGAAATTAGTCCCCATCTCCTGATCTCCACTAATGCAGGAGGGATTTGACCAACAGTAGTTTTTATCCGAAACTGTGTGGGTAAACTATTGCAACTGAGTCGGTGGCTTCCAAGATCTATCCGAATGGGCAAGCCTAATGAAAAAAGCTCGAGTAACCCCCCAAAGCTTATCTTTACTTAAGCAAAGCTCTCCATGATTTGCATATGCGGTTTTGGACAAGATTCGCATTTGGTTGTCCCAAAAACTTGAAATAAGTAAATCATTTTATGGATTGTTATTTGTAAAATCAGTTTATTGTGCGTGATTTGTAGGAGATCTGTTAAATTAAAAAACCATTATTTATCAATGAGGTCAGTTTCAATTTTCTACCGGAGCTTGTCGAAAAGATTGAAATTTATACTGTCAAATTGATTCACTTGATCGGTGTTTACCTCAATACATCGCAGGCAACATAGCCCAGAAAGAAAACCATTTTCTTTTAGAATGGTTAGTTTAAACAACAGCGACACTAAAATTCGTGTAATGCTTGCAGATTGAGTCCTCGTTTGATGAACTGCCGATGACATATTGAAAGAACGTGATCCAATACATCGCGCTGGTAAAAGGAGATACAAATACCAGCCCAACAGACCAAAAGATCACACCCTGTCCCCAGGATCCACTAGGTAGATCCTATTAATGCCGATCCCACCGCATAGTACTACACTACAATGGGAGTTGCCACACTAAGAGGTGCTGCAAGATATATCTTTGAACACCATAAATCGACGTGCACGCTTTTAACTCGATTATCTTTGAGGTATTGTTCAAGTTTTGCACAGCTTTTTGAAACAACTTTTTATTTTTTTCTCTTAAAGCAAGCTTTTCGTTTCTTATTTTTCCAAGGTACGTTCTTCTTTTCCAATTCATCGAAAACAGTTTTTGCCTTCATCTTCTATAAATGGCGTTTGCAGAAACTTGTTGAAAAGACGCTTTTTTGAATTTAGGTAGAACTGCTTCAACAGTTTTCTAGAAATCGCTATTTTAAAAAAATAATATAATTTTTCTGGTAGTTTCAACAACGCAGGCAAGTTTTTGTAAAACTAGGTATTGCAAATAATTTTTGGTGTTTTTGGCATGTCTTAATCAAATTAGTGCGCACGTTTTTCTTTGAAATCTGTTGCTTAAAAGCGCGAAATGTTTAAGTGGAGGTGTGTTTTTTATAGATAAATTGAAAATAGGTCGGCTAAAACAGTTGTTTTAAAAGACATCAAAACTTTTAAGTAACGGGTTTCTTTTGTGTTCTGTAAGTAAATTGATAATTTCCTAAAGGGAGAATTTTTCAATTAAAAAAACCTTCGATTAGATGATCATGACATATTTTGTGGCTTTTGAAGACATATTTTGAGGCTTATATTTTGAAGGTATTGAAGTTTTATCCTGAATAGTTTGGTTTTATAACATAAATTAGCATAGTTTTTGAAATATCATTCCCAGACGAACCTTACCTTCCCATCTAGTACTATGACCCTCTTGCCAGAGGTGGTACCATGCTCGAACTGGATTTCGTGTTTGCCATCATTCAGAGTAAGGCTCCACTCGGCCGTCACTTCAATTTTGGGCTTAGATGACGAGGAAGAAGACTGTAGTTTGGGGCTCATGTTATTCCGGGAAATTTGAAATGTTAAACGACAAATTAGATGAAACAGACGAGAATAATTAGACCTAGTCTAACGTTTTTTTATTGCGTTATAAATCATAATAGCAATCGTAAGCGACAATCCAATAGCAAAAATAGGGTATCGGAAACTTCGGAGCAATCAATTTTTCATTAAATGAATAGATAAGTTCGTCAAACCAACCAGATTTTGCTGCCAAAAACGTGAACGCGATAAATATAGTGTTGTCTAAATGTTTTGAAGCATACGATTTAAAAACTGCTTAAATATAAGCTTGACGTGGTATATGGCTTCTTCAGTGTATAAGTAAATCCAATCACGTTGGCATACTACACCTGTGATAAACGTAAATTCATCTTAATGCATTATTTGTGTTTTTAACAATATCGGTCTGACCAAAATACACGTGCTGAAAATTATCTGTACGTTAAAAAACATTACCAGTTATCGCAAAAATAGATTTCAGAAATCGAATTGCGTATTGCTTCAGAATCATCCCCGGATAAAGATACCTAAAAACCAATTCAGGATTTCACGAAGAGTTTTATTACTTCTGATTACTCTTAGAGAAGCTTCTATAAAATGGCGACAACAAGGATTTCCCAATACCTTCCTCCTAACATCGACCCAACTCAAGCACCTCTGGCATACGGGTCCAGGGCTCTACCTAAATTGGTGAGACAAAACAATCACTTTTGTGATAAATTTTATGTAATATTATTTTTAGCCACTCAAAAAACTTGCAAAAAGAGTGAAAGAGAAAAACGTTCTTCACAATCATATAAGACACCGACAGAGCAGAGCATTTGAAAACCGGTCTTTAAATATAAAATCAGTCGAGAAAGACACTAATTCTTTTAAAAAGAAGGAAAAAAAAGATTTCCTTATAGATTATTGCAATTTGAAAATATTTGAGGTCACAAGGTTTTTTTTATTCCGCGAAGTCAAACAAAAGAGAATAGAGGATTCGGGTGCGGATTTATGATATTCAGGTCACTCCCAACAATTAGGACGGTAAGGGTGTCTTTTCTACTCGACGCTATAATAATAATGTAGTTCCTGCGAATCGCAGAGTATCTATCATTAGGCTTTAACAGTCCTGTCGAGGATAGTCCATTTGTATTATCTCCCCACATTCCAGACAGTGTTATTTTGCTGAGCGAAGCTGTTTTTTTGCGACACAAGGCCGTTTTTTTTGCGTCTAGAACTTTTACGTGGTACCACTGTTGCAGCCAAATTTAGTCAGGTTGTGGTAGACCTGAAGCTAGAGGTCAAGCGAGATCTCGTCCTCACACACTATCATTGCCATGGCATAAGATTGAATACACACTCTGACGATTTGAAAGTAAACCCCTTACCACTATGCTAAGTGCCTCCTATTCCAAGTAAGTCAAAAAATTATCCTTTGTACTGAAATACTTTTATCACATTTGTTCTTGATATCTATATCTATACTATATTTAAATGCGAGTGACAGCTATCTCCCATGTTTAAGCATATTAATTTTGCATGTTTAACGAAAGAGTTTTTGTATGTTTAAGCTATATCATTTAATGCAATACTTAAGAACATTTTCAATTCGTTTTCCGCAAGGTCATTAATTTTGAGTAATTTTTTGCGAGGCCAAATTAAGTCTGTCTGTCTGTATACCTGCTTTTTTTAAAAATAATTTGATAATGTCTACCCGTCTCTTAATTCTTTAACTTTCATCTATTTATTATATATTTAAAACCGGGCTTCACTTTTCCAACATATTTTTGCATGTTTAACAAAAGAATTTTTTCACGTTTAAGCTATATCGTTTATTGCTATGGTTGTTTTTTCGATTTTCCAGTTTATTTCATCAAGTTTGAAAATAGCAACCTAATAGTGGGATTTTGTCAGAGTTTTATCAAGTTTTGCTATTCTGGCCTCCATATATGAATAACCAAATCCTTTTAGCTTACGAGATAGGCAATTTTCGAGATTTTTCAAAATTTTCCAGAAAAATTTAATTTTCAAAAATTTCTCAATTTTTGAAATTTTCACATTTAAGGTACTGTCAGGGTACTGTTGTGGTACTGTCAGGGTACTCTCAGCGGTTGCGAATCTTGCCTCCAAATCTCACTTCTCAAATCCTTGTAGTTTTCGAGATGACGTTTTTTATGATTTTTTCAAAAGATTTTCAAAAACTTAATTTTTAAAAAATTTCAAAACGTTGAAGACCTCATTCTTGTAGATTCAAAGTTCCACTGTCCAGAAATCAATAAAAAAGGAAGAAAATTTGAATAGAAAACATACATAATTCTTTCTGTGTATTTCAAAAGGGATTTCAATGTTATAAACGGTACAAACATTCTGGGCTACTTTCACAGCAATAAATTGCGCTTGTTTTTCCATTAGTTATCTTACAGCGTTCAAAAAATAGTATATTTTTATGTACTGACAGGTAATACATAGAAAAATTTTATAATTGCTCAGTTTTGCAAGTATATTATTTCTCTGAAAAAATTGCTTAAAAGATTGTTTCACTGTGTCAACTTGCCGGAGGGAAGCAATTTAAACTAAAAATCCAGCTTTTGAATAAAACGACAAAAATTCAGCTTGAGCTTGGTGGTTTTGAAGAACTGTTTTTAATTCAAATTTCTACACCGCCTGATATACATTAACGCATTTAGGTCAACGCAAAAAAAATATGATTTTTTGTTGATAAATTCGACGAGGGTTTTTCTGACAATTAACCATTTTTTGTTTGATTAGAGGCAGATTTAGAAATACTTATTTAACAAACAGGAATTAATGAGATCATAAAACGATAATAACTGTCTCATTTCACATCACAAATTTTGGAAATTGCTTTAGAATGTCTCATTTTACATCACAAACTTTGAAAATTGCTTTAGAATGTTATAATTACAAAACGGTTAAGGATAGCCGGTTACTGGGCAAGTAGCACAGTTTTTCCCGACCATAGTCCTGAAAAATAACAACGGATTTTTTTCAAATTAGTGTAATTTTTTTTCTGCGTGATGTGATAAAAACGAACTGAACGAAAAACAAGCTAAGGTTTATTCGACCATCATAGTAAATTACATAGATTGAAAGTTAAATATATAAATAAAATCTAAAAACGTGGAATTTGTGGCGCGCGAATACAAAAAGAATTGTCTGGTTTCAGTCTATTCCTCGTGAAACCAAAAAAAAATACAACTCGTCAAATTTACATATTTTTTGAAGGTAATGAAACAATTGACTTACATTTTCTCGTGAAGCCATACTGCTTCATAATTTCACTGATAGAGTTTTTTAAAGCTCAAAATAAAAATTTTAAAAAAATGTTGGAAAATAAAAATGAATTTGCGAGGATACTGATCGGTCGATAATTGTCAATATTATTAAGTGTGCCATTTTTCTGAATTGCAGTAGCAATTGATGTTGTAAGAAGGTGCCTTACAAAAAGAAAGAACGCTCAAAAAACGAGCAGAATAGAGGTGATAAAATAACCGCTTATTGCTCACCTAAAAAAAGTTTGGCGAAATTTTTGAATTTTTTTTTAAAAACTCACTTCGAAAAAATTCTAGGTCCACCCTTGTTTACACTGACCAAAGTCATTCAATAAAAGTCAAAAGATCCAAAATATTAATTTCTTAAAGCAATAAATGCATCTAATCGAATTTTTGAGAGAATCAAAAATGACACAGCAATTTGATTTTGAACCGATATTAAAATCTCTAAAAAGCTCCAGTGGAGATTGGTTACAATTTTAGCAATTAAATGCGGCAATATTCTTGGGGCTATTCTTTTTAAATTTTTTTTCGGGATCGCTTAAAAGCGGGCAAAATGTCCGAAACAGTTTTATTTCATTAAATCTTCAACAGTGTAAGCATCCTAAAAAAAGTTTGTGGATCATCCAGTAGTCCTGATAGCTAAATCAGTTGTATATTACTTACCGAAGAAATTTTTTATTCAGGCGAATTTCGACTAATTAATTTCACTAGTTGAGCCTCGGTTTTCGAAAATGTTGATGGAAAGGTATCTCATAAATTCTATGTATTCAAGATTATTTCTTTCTATTCTTATTTTCTACTCGATATTATTTTTACTGTTACTGGGTATTGAAAATTCACAGTTTGGCCAACTTGTGATAATTAACGCGCTCTTTTCATTAAGTTTCTATCGAACGGCAAAAATCAAAACTTCTCGTATCAGGGAGGAGCACTGAGTATTCCGACTGTTTTTTAAGGTCTATGAAATAGTGCTCGCTAAATTGATAAAATTTTCATTCAAAAATCATCCCACTCACGCTATCACGTACAAAATAATACATTTACTATATAGCAAAGTTTTAAATAGATCAAACAACATGCCTCAATTCAATTTGAAATAATTTGCAAGACGGGTTTTAACTCCACTTACGCGTTAGTAGTACAAAATATATCGCGCAATTTAACTTATTCACCCTTATAAAAAATGGTCAAAAATGGATAATTAAAAAGTCAAAACTTGCCTTGGAAAAAATCCACCCCAGAACAAACATTCCGTAACTTTTTTCGATTGTTAGAATTGTCAATCAAGTTCATTAATTCTGTTGAGGCAAGTTAACTAGTTCAAGTTTCTAGTTTAGCAGTATGTTAAATAGTACGTGACCTAGCGTGGGTGGGAGGGTTAGATTCGCTTAATTCAATTTTTTTTTTCAATTACCAAACTTAATTTTATAACTATAATTTTCTTCTGATTTTGTAAGCATCTTGATCACTTTCAATAAATTTTTGCAGGAAAGAGTACCTCCCAATTTCTCAGATACATGTCTCAGAGCAAAACAGTGCTGAAATTAGAATGCAGAGTTTTAACAAAAATTAGTTGTAACAGTCGTAATGAGTCGTAATAAAAAGATAGACAGATCTGAGGTCAAATGTATTCATAGCTTCAACTTAAGTTGTATTTACAGTACTGGATCAATAAGAGTTTTTCTGTTCGTTTTTTTTTTAAACATGACTATGGCAGAAATTTTTACTTCACTGACATTTGCGCTATCTTCGAGGCAGTTTTCAGAGTTTAAACGACTGCGGTGTACCGGTAAAGTATGGGTAGCTTTTGAGCGAAAAGTAGTGTTGAAAACTAGTTAGGCACAAAATCTCGACGAAGTGTCGTATCTCGTAGCCTGAATAAATTTGGGTAGTAACCTCTGCAGCACTCAGCTATAGTTTTAAGAAACTCCATTTTAATGCAACTTTGTAAATCAATTTCAAAAAAAAACTTATAAAAGACGTCATAAAAATGTCGTCTCGGAAACTAAAATAATTTGAGCAGTCACACTTGGAAGCAACAATTTCAACCCCTGAGAGAGCCCCGACAGGCTTGGTAATTTCAAAAGCAAGTCTGAGAATTTCATTAACATGATTATGAATTTCAACTACAGGGTTGGGAATTTCAAATTCTGCGCATTTTTAAGTGAAATAGCCTTGGAGGCAAGAGATGCAACTTTTGAGAGTACCTTGACAAGGTTGAGAATTTAACAACAGGGTTGAGAATTTCTAATAATGTGAAGTTTTTAATTTAAATTTTATGACAATTCCTTTTAAAAATATGACATTAATTGTCGTATCTCGTTAGCTAAAAAAATTGGGCATTCATTTTCAGAGGTCAAATTTGCGATTTTTGTGAATCCTTTTGGGTTGGTAATTTCATACTTGGTGAAATAAACACGTAACTCAAACTGGAAAATTGAGAAATTTCATAAGCATTGCATTATACGATATTTCTTATGATGGAAAAAATCGTGAAAAGAGCGTCATTAAAGTAATACGTTGAAAAAATTTAAGCATGGCGAGATAACTAAGCCCGCATTTAAATATATAATAGCTTTGTGTTTCATCAGTTTGAACACTGTTTAACTGTACTTCTTCTTGTGTAGTCGAATTTTTTACTTCTGTAGTTGGTGAGATTATTGCAGTTGATATTAAATTCGATTAATTAATTTAGACTCTTTCCGGTAGTGCGAAAACTCAACGCTGTTGCATCGATGACTCAGTACTGCTACAATACTTAGATTTTTATCCTTGAATTTTTTCTAACCATAGTAAAATTGGCGCTAAGCAGTACTGCAATTTTGACTGACTCGCAGAATTTCAGCAATCATCAATTGAGTAATGGGCAACTTTGCAAAACGAATGAACGGCCCACTCAATTTCTAATTCTAAACATTCTCAGATTGCAATGATTTCGTCAACCCCCCCCCCCCCTAACGTTTGCCCATTTGCACCTTACATCTCCACACCCCAACGTTTGCCCCTTTGCTCCCACATCGCCACCCCATCCCTCCTTGACCAACCCTTTCCCCCACGTGCACAACGCGGCCTCTGACCTAAACTGAACCCCCCACCTGGTTCTGGTGGTGGAGGGGGGGGGGGGGGTAGTTCAGACCAGGGTCTAGCTTGTTCAAGTTTTTTTTGGTCGTTTTTTTTGCAAAAAATATGGAATCGAATAACAAGTAACCAACCTTAGTTTTAAACGTTGAAAACAATTTTCTTGCGTTGAAGTTCGCATCTCAATAAAGTGGAAAAAATCGATTATAATGGATTTTCATTGTTTTATCTATAAAAAGTAAAAAAAAAAATGATTATAACTGATGTGCAATGGACTTTATTGCTTTATTAAATAATAGCAATATAATCCATTTTTAATTTATTATAATCACTTTCTAAAACTTTTGTAGACACTGGCTGAAACAGTTTTATTTCATTTTAACTCTTACTGAAACGGGACACTGTGATATCATTTCGGCTTGTCACAATATTCGGAAACGGGTCTCAAGTTATCTGATAAACGCTTTTTACCCGCTCTGCAAAAAGGTATGTTGAAATTAGTTAATCCGTCTCAAGGCCAAGCTTAAATCAAGAGAAGACATATTTTTTGAAAGTTTTTTTTATAAAGTTATAACACAAAGCGTCGAAGATTAAAGAAATGAACATCGAACAAGATTAAAGCAGTCTCTGTTTTGAAACGTCTAATTATTTATCTAGCACACTCATTAATGGTTTGTAAGTAATACTTAAACTTTGATTGAGGAAAACTTTTTCTCGAACACCGTAAATAAACCAGAGCCCTTTTTGCCAAAACAAACAATTTTTTTTTTCGAATGGTCTATATTTTGTCTAATCATTAATAGTTAAATCTCCTTAACAGTTTATCTCTGTTAAGTTTCCAAGAGTTAGTTTTCAAAAATCCAGCCTCCAATAAGTCTTACACATTCACTTCTCTCATTCTCCCATCTATCCTCGAAAACCACCGCCCCGCCTCTACAGTCCCTCGTCTATCATGATGTCGTAGCAGGTGCACTCCTGCAGCAGGTCCTGAGGGAATGCCTTGACAAAGTCTTCTATACGGACCTCCTTGTCGCCCACTATTCCCTTCCACCAGTTCACCAGCACATTGTCTGTCTGGCCCTGCGGGAAGAACTGCTCTGCGAGTGCCTTCACTCCAGGAGTACAGCCGGCGGTAGACTTGGGGAACTTCCGGTCTAAGCAAGGACATTGACACTTTTCTCAGTTTGTTACCTAATTAGAAACCATTCACTGAAACTTCTCAAAAAATTGCGTGGAGCGCTGTCCTAATTAGTAATAAAATCTGTAGGTTTCTCTGGCTTTATTCGTTTTGCAAAAGTCTTCCTGTTTTTTGGTGATCTTGTTATAGTTGTTTTAGTTTCTGTTTCTGTACTTTTTGCTTGTTTTTTGGAGCTTCCTTGAACCTTGTGAGCGATATCGAGATTTGGTTTGTTCAACTTAACTTGCGCGCATCTTACCGATGAGTCGTTTGAACTCCAAGTTGTCCAGTCCCCCACTGCAATTGGTGTCACAGAGGGCGAACCAGTAGAAGAAGTTAGAGGGCTCCCTGAAGGGGGCGACGAGACACTTGATGAAGCAGAGCACGTCCAAGTTGTCCCCATAGTCTTTGTCCTGGTTCCTCAGGTGAGTGTCGAACACCTCGTCGAACTTGATGTCGATCATCTCCCGCTTAGTCAGTCCAAATATGTCACGTAGGATGTCTAGATGCACAAAATATCTAGTGCAAAAAACTGAAGCACAATTGGCTTTTTTATGGTAATAATGACGAGCAATGTTTCTTGAAAAAAAGAATGAAAAAATAATGGGGAAAAAAATAAATATTTTTTTTTGCTTTCAAATACGGATCAAGTGCAAATACCCCCTCCCCCTAAGTAAAAACCAAGTTGATATCTTCCACCCCAGCATTTGCAATTCGGATTTTAAAAAAATTCTTCTGTGGAAAAATGTCTAAATGTCTGAAATGTCTGAATGTATCATTTTGATTTTTTATAAAAAAAATCAAGACTGCTCGTATCAGGGCAAAGCCCTGAATGTTCCGACCGCCTTTTAAGGTTTTATGTAGCAGTAATAACATTAAAAAATTAAATGTAATTAAATAAAATGAAATTTTTTTTTCTAAAATTTGAAATTTTTATGAAAATCATCCCCCCACACCCCATTTAAAATTCAAAAAGATAGATTTAGCTCTTGTAAGAAGTCAATTATGGCAAAAAAGCTTCTTTCAACCAACTTGGAACGATTTTAAGACGGATTAACTCTCCGCTTACGCGTTAATAGCGCGAAATTATCGCGCGTTACTTGTCCCAAATTGGCCAAAATGGCAATCTTTAAAAACCCATAACTTTAGCAAAAATGATCACAGGTAAAATATCTTTTCAAATTTAAGCCCAAGACAACAATACCTTTCGAATGATATAAAATAATTCCGTCAAAAATGGCTAGTTAAAAAGTCGAAATTTGTCTGAAGAAAAAAAACCCACCCCGAGCACAAATATTCCGTTACTTTCGTATCGAAAGTCGGAACAATAAGAAAACAAAAAAAATTTTGATTCAAAAATTAATTTTTGCGTTTTTTGCGGTCGCAATTGTAGAAACACAAAGTACACTCACTGTGCAACTTTTAGAACCGTTTACTATATTTTACTAAAAACGATATTTTTGAAATTTTTCTAAATCTATTTAAATGTTAAAGCAAAAAGCGTTGTAATATTCTTGCTTAACGAAACTATGTTCAACAAAGTAGCTTCCCTCTTTTTTGTTTTCATTAACTTCCGGCTTTTGTCCGATCTGTTCTTGTGCTTTCCTTGCCTTTTGAATTTTGGTTTTTATTCAAAACAAGTTTGTAAAATTACTTAACAAAGAACTTTTTTTAAACATCCGCTTTTTGAATGCCAGTTGTAAATTCTTTTGTTCAAATTATATAGATTTTGAAACTTTGCAGTTTTTGATTGCAATTGATAAAAACTGGGTGACAACATCGCACCAGAATCGACTTTTACCAGAAAACTGAATTAAAGCCTCAAGACCTAGCCACAAGAATGGGTTATTTAGATGTTTCATTGCGCATATACGTTAGCAGATGGAAGTTTCAGCAGACTCATAACAATTAAATGGTCAGGTCAGAGAGCTAAACTAATATGCAGCATTTACAACCAATAAAATCTGCTTACAAAGTGTGAGTGCTCCATATACGGGGGTGTTCTGATGATGGAGAGACCGAATGATAGAAAACTTTAACCAATCACAGCCGTTAGACGTTCCTGCTAGCTAAAAGACTTCTGAACAAAACCGAATTCTTTATTAACAGAAAACGAATTATAGCAGCACAGCAAAAAACATTTCTGCACAGTTCGTGCAGATAACCAAAAAAAATGTTTTTTTTTTATTTTTCGGTTTTTTTCCAATACCCGGCATTGATATAAAATAATCGAAAATTCATTGGCCTGCTGATTTTTAATCGTCTATTTTTTAAGATCTTCAATATAGATGAAGTTGTTGTCAAACGCCAAAAATCATTCGCTCATTGCTACCCAAACAAAAATGATTTCAGGTAGCCTGGTAAGATGAATTGGTAAACTGTACTGTTACTGCGCTCGCCGTCAAAGTCCCCTGATTAAAAAATCCCACCGGAGAGAATCTCCCAGGACTAAATCCCCCATAGGACCAAATCCCCCTAGGACAAAATCCCCCAGCATTTGTTTTAATATCCCCCATATTAGCGTTAAGCAAAAACAGAACTCGGAAAACTAAATTACACTTAGTGACCATAAATAGAGCTGAGATTAACGTAAAATCATAAACATGACTAAACCAAAAATAGAACTAAATTAAAATGATAAATCAACAGCGATAGCTTTGAAAAAATCAATCTCCTCGTAATTGGCCGCTGATCATATTATGCGTTTTATACGCCTAAAGTTATCTTCTTTCCTCGCGTGCCTTTTCTTTTCCAACTGCAACTGAGACAAAAAAGCCTGCAAGGATCGCTGTCTTTGAATGGCTTCGTTAATTTCCAGATATCTGGGGAAAGTTGTGTCGTCAACAAAATAATGCGTAAATGCAGGGGAAAATTGTGCCGTCAACAAAACAATGCACTGTTTAGACCTCGTATAAATTTTGCGGGCAGCTCTTAAGGTTCTATCGATGAACCAATTTCCATAATTGTTGAGAACATCAATATTTTGGCTCGTGGAAAAAACCAAGTATCGCTTTTTGCTGCCCAGAACCGCTAAATCTTCAAGAACAAAGTCTTCTTCATTTAGGGTCTGCTTATACTTCTCTGGTAGCTCGAAATCCAGGCCAGTTGGGATGGGTGTGTGGTATCTGTTTTCATGGCCATTGCGTTTGATTATCCTTTTACTTTTTAAAACTACAAGCATCTTCGAGAAATATTCAGGTGTCGCGTGTACTTCTGCTAAAGAAAATAATGTCTGCGCGGTGTCTGTGCAGCTTGCCGCGTCCTCTTCGATTTTCGCATTGATTGCATATGTTTCCACCAAAGCGTAATGGGCTCATAGCATTATTGACAATTTCAAAAACTCATCTTTTCATGTCCTTTCAAAAGTTTAGTACTCCCCCAAGTTCAACATTTCGTGGTCCCAGGGGTCTCAAAGTTTGACATAAAAAAGAGGATAATTTTCAGGGAATCGGGGTCTTCCTTTCACAGTATCCCGCACCCCCAACTCAGGAATTTTGCCTCGTGGGGGTTAAGTTCAACACTTTTTGCTCAAAATGCCATATTTGAGGTTCGATCTCACGCGAACCGCTCAACTTAATTTAATTTTATTCGACTTACTGACTGTGCCATGTGGCTTGTCTTTTTTGGTAATAGAAGCGCTCTTTTGCATAAAGTCAAGGAAATTTGGATAATTAAAGTTTCTCAAAATGGCAATGCATGCATGACTTTTGCTTATATGGAAGCACATTGAACTAGCTTTGTTTGAAAACTTAATTCAAAATGCCTTAAATATATACTTTTACATTCCCTGGATGATAAGTTAAAATATTGGGAATGCGCGTTATCGGAACGTAATATATCACCGGTAAAATATCCAAAGTTGGAGACATCAGCATTTTTCAAGCCCCCTTGAGTCATCAGCATTAAAAAAAAATTAAAGGTGATTTTGTTTTTCAATTCAGGTCTTGAAAAATCTTACTGTCGAAATTATTTTGTGAAATATCGAAAACTGACTAGATGAAAAAATTACTAGGAATACAAGTTAATTTAATTATTGAAAACGAAATTTAAGTTCTCTTAGTTGCAAAAACAAACATGAAATAGTTTTCATTATGAGGCTAAGCACTTTACCAAAACGACTTTTTCACCAGACTGATCAGCTGGGGAAAGTTGTGTCGTCAACAAAATAATGCGTAAATGCAGGGGAAAATTGTGCCGTCAACAAAACAATGCACTGTTTAGACCTCGTATAAATTTTCCGGGCAGCTCTTAAGGTTCTATCGATGAACCAATTTCCATAATTGTTGAGAACATCAATATTTTGGCTCGTGGAAAAAACCAAGTATCGCTTTTTGCTGCCCAGAACCGCTAAATCTTCAAGAACAAAGTCTTCTTCATTTAGGGTCTGCTTATACTTCTCTGGTAGCTCGAAATCCAGGCCAGTTGGGATGGGTGTGTGGTATCTGTTTTCATGGCCATTGCGTTTGATTATCCTTTTACTTTTTAAAACTACAAGCATCTTCGAGAAATATTCAGGTGTCGCGTGTACTTCTGCTAAAGAAAATAATGTCTGCGCGGTGTCTGTGCAGCTTGCCGCGTCCTCTTCGATTTTCGCATTGATTGCATATGTTTCCACCAAAGCGTAATGGGCTCATAGCATTATTGACAATTTCAAAAACTCATCTTTTCATGTCCTTTCAAAAGTTTAGTACTCCCCCAAGTTCAACATTTCGTGGTCCCAGGGGTCTCAAAGTTTGACATAAAAAAGAGGATAATTTTCAGGGAATCGGGGTCTTCCTTTCACAGTATCCCGCACCCCCAACTCAGGAATTTTGCCTCGTGGGGGTTAAGTTCAACACTTTTTGCTCAAAATGCCATATTTGAGGTTCGATCTCACGCGAACCGCTCAACTTAATTTAATTTTATTCGACTTACTGACTGTGCCATGTGGCTTGTCTTTTTTGGTAATAGAAGCGCTCTTTTGCATAAAGTCAAGGAAATTTGGATAATTAAAGTTTCTCAAAATGGCAATGCATGCATGACTTTTGCTTATATGGAAGCACATTGAACTAGCTTTGTTTGAAAACTTAATTCAAAATGCCTTAAATATATACTTTTACATTCCCTGGATGATAAGTTAAAATATTGGGAATGCGCGTTATCGGAACGTAATATATCACCGGTAAAATATCCAAAGTTGGAGACATCAGCATTTTTCAAGCCCCCTTGAGTCATCAGCATTAAAAAAATTAAAGGTGATTTTGTTTTTCAATTCAGGTCTTGAAAAATCTTACTGTCGAAACTATTTTGTGAAATATCGAAAACTGACTAGATGAAAAAATTACTAGGAATACAAGTTAATTTAATTATTGAAAACGAAATTTAAGTTCTCTTAGTTGCAAAAACGAACATGAAATAGTTTTCATTATGAGGCTAAGCACTTTACCAAAACGACTTTTTCACCAGACTGATCAGCTTGATTGATCAGCTTTTATCAGCATTACGAGGCCAAACTGTGCTCTTGATAGGCGCAAAATTTTGTGTCTGTATGTTTCTGGATCCAAAAACTAATCTTTAAACCTGTTCCAAATGTTGGTGGATTCCACGTACAAAACTTCCGTGGATTTCGCGTACATATGAGTATAACGTAAAATTTGTCGGCATACTTGTTGTGCCGCGGATTCCGCAACAAGCGAGTATAAGTACTTATTTTGGATTCCGCAACTGTAAGTGGATTCCGCAAAATGTAAACAGATTCCGCAAACTGTAAGTGGATTCCGAAATTTATTCAATGCTGAAATTGCATATGAGCAACTAAAAGCTAGAGCTGGAACTCTTATCTCTAGCAATGTGGAATTTAAAAGCAAGGACTTAAACATAGTCAGCGGAATCCACGAAGAAGTCTTAAAACATTGGTTACCTAAATCGGTGGATGTCATCTTTTAGTATTTTGGAAACACAACATCGAATAATTTCAATATTTTGAGTCGTTGAGTTGAGAATGAATGGAAAAAAAACACACAGCATATCGCCAAATTAGGTCAGTGTTTATGATTGCGTCAATCCCAAATACTGATTTTGGAAGCATAACGGCGAATAAATTCAGTGATTGGAGTCACTGGGTTGAGAGTGTATGGAAACACAACACAAAGCGTATCGCCAAATTGGGTTAGTAGTTGGGAATCCATCAATCCCAAATACTGGTCCGTATTTGGGAATGCTGAAATCCCAAAAACTGGAATAACATGGAATAAAGATGGAATAAATTCAATATTTGAAGTCATTAGAATGAGCGTGATTAGGAACCCAGCGCACAGCAAATGGTCGATATAGTTCAGTATTTGGGATTTCATTGATCCCAAATACTGGCCAGTAATTGGGATTCTATTAATCCTAAACACTGATCTAGTAAATTCCTATTCTAGTGAAATCAAATCAAATAATTAAAATATATAATTTTTGACGCTTCTACTTTTATACATATAGGTGAATGTGTAAATGTATACTATACGACTATATCGTGAGAAAAGTCCCGGTCTGGAAAAAAAATCAGATGAGGCGCTCGTTAATGGTAATTAGTCAGACCATAAAGCTACATTACAATGTCAATCAAATTTGTTTATCTAGTCTGTTACAAAGCTGACGCTTTAATTATTTTGATAAAAAGTCAATCTGTTAATGAGCATAAATCTCAATATTCTTAAAAATTATGTCTCGTTAAACCATACTTCGTTTTTCGTTTGTTCCAATAGCCACAAGAATGTACACTCAAAGTCTAAGCCCAAGTTTCACTAATTAAATCAGGATTTCTAGAGGAAAAAAAATGTTTAAAAGCCAGTTTGCCATTAGCTATTCCCTTAAAATTACTTCGCGGGCAATCACAAAGTAACAACACTAATCATTACAAGGTAAAGCATTGAAAGTTTTGACTGCCCTATAAGTAGTTCTGCCCCTGTTTTTTTTTTGGTTAGAAAATGATCAACTTATTGAATTTGAAAAATAAACGTAACGCGTTATGTGGACAACTCAGCTTGCCTCAATTCAAAATGAAATGATTTTTGAGCCGGTTTGTTTTAACAATTACGCTATTGCTCATGGGAAACTGACAAACAGCGGTCTTCAAGTGTCGCAAGTTGGGTAAATATTCTAAAAACCAACGTCAATTACTTCAGAAAACTATGATTACAGAAAAAATATGTTAATTTGAATAAGAATGTTGAAAAAAAACACGAGCGCAGATAATACGTCAATTTTACAAAGTCTGATGAAACCCGGTGATGAATCTACTTGTGCAGTTGAACAAAAATTGTGGTCAAAGTGCTTTTTAGTATCGAATAAAACTTTTTAAGTTGAAGACTGCAGACAATTCAACCAAAAGTATGCAGACAATTCAGCCAATAATAGTGACCGTCGCAGTCGCGCCAACGCATTGCGAGCTTGCCAACAGAGGGTAGGACTCTATACGAAATATAGAGCCGGTTATCGCCGCCAAGCGGCGACGCACGTGTAGCGCGCCCACAGGCGACCTTAAACCGAGAAATAACTCCATTTCCAACTTTTTTTCTTTCGAATCTAGCGTTTTGTAAAACTGGCTGAATTGTCTGTATATTTCTGGCCGAATTGTTTGAATTTCAAATTGGTTGAATTGTCTTCGGCCGAATTGTCTGTGCGCCGAAGGATCATGCCAAAATATTCCCGCTAATTAGATCTTCCACCTCATTTATTGTTCCGACTTTCGGGGTGGGTTCGGGGCAACAAAGTTAATTCAAACTAAACACGGCTGCTCGTATCAGGGTGAAGCCCTGAAGGTTCCGACGGCTTTTTAAGGTCTATGGAGCAGTAATACCTTGTAAAAGTGAAATGTAATAAAATAAAAATAAAATTAACAAACAAAATTGAGAGGTTTTGTAAAAACATCCCCCACACGTCATCTTAAGCACAAAGTGATAGATTTTGCTCCTATTAACAAATCAATGATGGCCAGTAAGCTTCCTTCAACCAATATGGAGCGATTTCTAAGACGGATTAAAAATTAAGTTTCGACCGGCTGAAAAATCCTAATTCAAATTTAATGTACGAGGATCTACATAAAGGGACGAGGATTTTAGCTTAGTTCAATATGAGGTTAAATGGTTTCTGTGGTTAAATAGAGTATAGTTTTCAACAAAATTATTGGACAACGTGTTAAATTTTTGAGATAATTTTTACCTTCAAGCTGAAACTTATTAGAAATCTTTCTTCGAAGTTTCGCGTTTGCCTTTTGTCGACATTGTATGAGTTTTTCTATTCAAAAATTGCCTAACAGACTGCTGCTGAATGAAACTATAAACCTAAATGAAATTTGTTTTGGAGTTAGAGGCTTGAAGTTACGCAAAAAAAAAACAAATTGGTCTCTGAAAAAGCATTAATCATTAACCATTCAATGCTTGATCGAACACAATAATTGCAATGATCTTTTTCACTGAAAAAGCGCAACAAAACTATTGCGCTTTTTCAGAGATCAGTTTTTATTTCAAGCCCTTAACTCCAAAACAAATTTCATTTAGGTTTTATAATTTCATAAAAATAAATATATTATATACATGGCGCACATCAACAACTTCTATAACGAGACAATTTTGCAGTTTTAAAGTCGATTTCATTTTGTAGTACATCGTTGGGGATGAACATCGATTTCATAAAATTGAGGATGAACTTATGAGAGCATTTGTAACTTAAATGACAATTGATTTAGTATCTAAAACTCAAGATATATTTAGAAGCAGTACAGAAAGATCCGCCCCCAATTTTGTTTTCAAAAATATTTGAGCTCGGAATGATTTGTGTTACGTGCTTTAACCGTTTTTTTTTGTTAAACCAATCCAATTTGACGGTTATTTCATAAAGTTCGCAAAAAAAAGTTGTTAAAAACGTAGTTGATTTGTCTAAGAAAAATTATGGCTTGAAAAATAATATCACATTTTCTATATTTAAATCTAATAAACACCCCAAAACTTTTTTCTAAATTAGTTTTTTGTTTGATGGAATAAACTTTGTTTAATCAGCCTTGTTATTATGTCTTTTTTTCAATATACCGTTGGCTTATCAAATATGCAATCTATTTGTCCCTGTGACTATAAAACATAACATGGCACATAATTTTAGTTTGTTTCCATTATCTGTTGTAATCTTACCCCTGCACAACTCGACGAATTCCGCCCTTCCGATTAAGTTCACGCCCGCTTGGTTTCCCCAGTAGGGCTGTGCCCGCTTCTCGATCTTGGTGCGGATGTGTGCGAGACTGGGTTCGAACTTGTGCCACCAGATCATCTCCTCGTCCCCCCACTCCCATCGGTGCTCAAAGCCCATGGCGTCCTTCATGCCCTTGCTCAGATTCTGAAGGAACTTCATTGACTTGTTCTTGGCCTGCTTGAAACTACGAAACAACAAAAATAAACAACGTCGCTTACTTTTCAATTATTTGTCTAACTTGATGCAGTGCATCGCTTCGATTTTTGCAATCACAATCAGCAAGCAATGGACCAATAAGGACCAATATGCAATATTAGCTACTACTTTTTTGTATCGCCAATTATTTCCCACCTCAATATTTAACTTCATGGCTTAAAAAAAGTTAATAACTAAAAATCAATTATCAAGAAAGATGCCGAAAAATAGAACATGCCAATGAAGGATAGAACCTGAAACTGCAAAAAGCTTTGTTTTTTTCACAATTTTAAATTTGGTTTTCAATCTTTAATCCACCGTTTATTCGTCGAATTTTTGATGAAGTGGCCAAAATATTTCACCTCCATCAGTGGCGGATCTAGGAGTTTTTTGGGGGGCGGATTTTGATTTTCTAGAGGCGGATTTGGATTTTTTTTCAAAAAACTGAAAATTTTGTCGTCCTTTGTAGGTAATTGCCCTATAAAAGCCCCATTTTGCAAAAAAAACATATCCCCATTTAGAATATTTGAATATTTGGCATAGAAATAGCCTGAGGTAACGTTACATGTAGACTTTATCTTTTAACAATTAGCAATGATTGAGTTTTGGAGCTTCCAGGCAACTCATCCAGTATTAACTCATCTGTTTCTTTCTGGCGATAATAGAAATGTCGTATAGCTGCATGTGCTACTGATTTGATTTCGTTGTGGCAAATCTGTCAGCAATATTGATTTTTAGTAGTCCAGTTAAGTGATTTTTAGTCCAAATGGACTGAAAAGTCTGTAGTGTTACATATAAGCTGCACGATTTTGCCTTCTTTCCAATGTTTTTATTTCCAGGAGACTAATGTAAGTTTAATTGAACATGTTCGTCGCGAAAAACTCATTATTGTAGAGAATTTGTGGTAATTGATTCAGTTTTGTCTGCAAATCAGATAAAATTCAATAAGACGTCTATGCAATTGCTAATTTAATACCAAACAGCTCGACAGACAAACTTTTAAAGTAACATTGACAAGAATTAATTAGCGATAAAAACATTTTAATCCACTCTCACGTTTAGATTTACTTTAACTGCCGCTCGCAACCCAGATTTCGTAAGGGATAGATAGGTTAGTGCAATGAGAGTGAAATTGTTCTTTGTTCCTTTAAAACAATTCCTTGCTTGTTCCGACTTTCGAAGAAAATGGAATATTTATGCTTGGTTTTTGTTTATTCAGTCAACCGAAATGATGATTTTCAACAAAATTGTTTTATACCCCATTGAAGTTATCAGCTTCCTGAGTTCAAATAAAAAAGTTTACCTCCGATTATTTTTGTTAGAGTCTGGTGGTATTTGATATGAAATAAAGGACAGTCGGAACATTCAGGGCTTTGCTCTGATATGCGAGCAGTCTTGTTTCACTCTATCGATGACAATATTCAGTCAATTCAGTAATATTTGGTCAATCGTTGAGCTCAAGCAACGATACTTTTCAGATTTTTTCAATAATTCATTCAATAAGATGTCTATGCAATCGCTAATTTTATACCAAACGGCTCGCCAGACAGATTTTTTAAGTAACATTGACAAGAATTAATTGTCGATAAAAATATTATAATCCACTCGCACGTTTAGATATACTTTAACTGCCGCTTGCAACCCAGATTTTGTAAGGATAGAAAGGTTCATGCAATGAGAGTGGAATTGTTCTTTGTTCCTTTAAAACAATTCCTTCATTGTTCCGACTTTCGAAGAAAACGAAATATTTATACTCGATTTTTTTATTCAGTCAATTTTCATCAATCGAAGCAATTTTTTTCAACAAAATTTTTTTATATTCCATTGAAAATGTCGGTTTTCTGAGTTCAAATAAAAAAATAGTTTACCTCCGATTATCTTTTGTTAGACTCCGGTGATATGAAAATTGCCAAATTTTCCATGTTCTGGACTAAGATATGCGCGCTTTGAAGGGCTTACTCATAGTTCTGAGAGCAAAACGCAAACTATTTATACGTGGCGACTTATCCCGCACCAAAAACTGTTCCAAATTGAATTGAGGCTATCTAATTGGTCGTGTTAGTTTCGTATAACTCAAAATTTTAGACCTTGATATTGTCCAAAATGTAGAGGTTTTCAATATTTTTTTAACGAAAACTAAACTGTTCGATATGATTAGAAGGACAGTCGGAACATTCAGGGCTTTACTCTGATATACGAGCAGTCTTGTTTCACTCTATCGATGATAATATTCAGTTCAATTATGTTCATCGTAAGGATTTCTGAATCAAAATAGCAAAAAAATTGCATGACGCTCAAACAAATTGCAGCCACTTGCCGTCTCCTCTAAAGTAGCACATAATCTTCCCACCATATTCTTTAAAAAAACATAAATTTTTCCTGCTTCCTTTTCAACTTAGTGTTGTTTTTTGTTCGTGGTGTCATGAAAGGATATAACGAAAACTTAAAGTTTAGGCTTATTAGACAATCTCAGTAATTTAGGCAAATCTGGCAAGGTTTTTTGGTCAAAAAGTCACAAGAAAAAAATCAATACTCACAAAAAAGCTGGCTTGCTTTACTCGCTCAAATTTAGACTAAATCTCAAAAATTTTGAAACGGTTTTTCTCGAAACCGGCACATTTGTCATAAAGTTTTATAAAAATGTTCGAATCAGGACTGTAATTTTTTAAATCTGAGAAACTTGAAAGCCCTGAATGCATCAACTGCCCGTTAGCTGGTCTCAACTAGCTTTCGGTTAACGAGAAATCGACATAAGGTGAAATTTAGGCTGATAATATCAAAATTTAAAGTGTTATAACTTAGGTCAGACATGATATTTTTAAGATCAACAAAAAGCTCGTATCAGGGGGAAGCTTTGAATGTTCCGGCTGCCCTTTAAGAGTTTTGGAGTAGTAATAACATTAAAACATTAAATATAATAAAAGAAAATGATTTTTTTTCTTTAAAATTTGATTTTGTGAAAATCATCCCGCCACACGCCATATAAAGTACAAAATGATATTTTAATAAATCAAAAAGTTTCTTTCAACCACTGTCGAACATTTCCTAAGATGGTGAATTTCCCCACACGCGTTAATGGCGCAAAAATTATCGAGCGTTAATTGTCCCAAATTGGCCGAAATGGCTATCTTTAAACCCCCATAACTTAACGAAAAATGATCACAGGTGAAATATCTTTTTGACTTTGAGCTCAAGCTACGATACTCTTCAGATTTTTTAAATAATTCATTCAAAACTGGTTAGTTAAACAGTCGAGTTTGGTCTAAAGAAAAAACCACCCGAGCACAAATACTCCCTCTTTTTCTTCGATAATCGGAACAAGAAGCTTGCCGTAATTCAAATTGGAACAAATTGTAGAGCAAGATAAATCGCCACGGCGAATAAAGCAAGTTAAAATTTCAGCGTCAAAATATAAAACGAGCAGTTTAGCTATACTCATGCCAGGTTAATATAGTCGTGAGCGAACTCAGCGTGGCCCACAAAAATTTAGGGATCGAAACATCGCGAAAAAATGTCTTTTGAAAATGGTTTGAATAAAAAAATTAACCCCGCCCATACATATCATACTTTTTCGAAAGCCGAACTTTTAGTGTGACACGTATCTCGACTTGTTTGAGCGTGTTTTGTTTTGATCAGCATAAAATATATCTTTCAATGTTTGAGCTAAGCCTTGTATAACAAAAGTGTACAGGTGAAAGATATTCGTTCACACTTTGTGCTGAGCAGCCAACCAACCATTAACAAGGATTTGCTCGCGACCCGCATGTTGTGACATTTTAGAACGTCTACACAAAATATATATAAAATTATATATTTTGTATCTACTAATATTTCATAGTTCAAAGTCAGGCAAATCCTCGGATTTTTTTTGTCTGTAATAGGATGCTTTTTTGACGGCGAATTGCTTTTTTTTACAAATTGAACACTTCTGCAATCAATTTTTATTGGAACCATTTCAATTATTGGGTCTCCAGTCCAACACAATAATTTTAAGGATTCAATTTGACGGGATTTTTCAAATTCTTTTTAAAAACAAGCTGAATTTTGATTTGAATGCTTTGTATAAGTCGTTGTGACCATTTTTTTTTGTTGTTGAGGGTTTGAAAGCTTGCCTATTCACCCATTTTGGGACAATTAACTCGCCAGATATTTGATCTTTCGGGCATAGGCGACAATTTAAAACCTTTCTTATTGAAACAACTCTGCTCGTATCAGGGCGAAGCCCTGAATGTCCTGACTGCTTTTTTTATTTGCATGAAGTAGCTTAAAATAAAATAATTGATTAAAAAATTTTAAAAAAAAAATGAAAAAATTTCAAAAAGTTTCTTGATATTTTTTCCAAAAATCATCCCCCCCAAACAATATGAAAATACAAAGTTATATATTTTGCTTAAAGCAGAGTATTAAAAAGACTAAAAGTGTTCTTCAATCCAATTTGTAACGATTTCTAACCGGATTAAGTCTCCTCTTACGAGCTAATAGCACGAAATATATATCGCGCGTTTATGGTTCTAAATTGGCCAATTTGGCACTCTTTAAGTGAAGTATCTTTTTAATTTTGAGCTCAAGGCATCAGTACCTGTCGAATGACATGAAAAAAAAATCCGCCAAAAAATGCCTGTTAAAACTTCCAGTTAGTTCGAAATTTGTCTGTAGAAGAAAAAACCGAGAGCAAACTTTTAGTCACTTTCCTCGAAAGCCGGAACAATGAAGCAAGGTTTTTGGATTTTCAGTACGATACCAGGCGTATAACGTATATTTTTTGTTTACATAGCTTATGGGAGATCAAATTTTAAAAAGATATGAAGAAAAATTAAACTTTTATCTGTTTTTGTCGTAAATTTTTCATCGGGACGGTATAGAGTAGTCTGATATTCGAGCTTTGACACAACCAATCTTGTTCACGATTGGCGAAAATTATCTGCAGGTGTAACATAAAACCAATTATAAAACAAATGTGATCAAAAGTTATTTGCAAAAATCGTTTTT